ACAGTTAAATAGATAATATGACTACCGGAAAAGAGCAGGATGCCATGGGAGAGAATAATTCTGAGGATTGGGGGGTATCATTTAGAAAGCTGGGTCAGGGAAAGTCTAAACATTTAAGCAGAGACCTGAAGCATGAATAATAATCAGGCAGAAAAGAGCATTCCAGGCAGAGAAAACCTCCATACATGCAAAGGCCCTGAGGCAGGAAAGACTTTGGGGTCTTTGAGGAAGAACAGAAGGTTATGAGCTGAAGCGATGGGGGAGAGATGAGGTTCAAGAGGCAGTCGGGGGCCAGGTCAGCAGGGTCTTAAACTCTTGGTAATAGAGTGGATTTTATTATAAAAAACAGACCATTGGAGGGCAGTTACCCTTTCGATTTACAACTTTAAAAAATTCACAGGAAGCTTCCACTGGGGTTCATCCAATAGCTTCCAGAAGCCAACTACAGGAGGTTGCTGATTATAATCAACAAATATTGATTGAGCACTTTTCCAACCGGCCCTTTGCTTGGTGCTGTGTGGTTGATTAGTTTTGGTTTCTTTATTTTTAATTGCACAATTAATTCATTAATTTATTTCATTGCACATCACACACACATCTCCAAACCTGCACCCTTATCTGTAGTTAATCACTGAGAAGAGTTTGGAGTATCAGATCTCTTCTCTTCTTTTTTTTTACTACCATATGATATGTAGAAATATAGAGACTTGCTTTGTGTGTAATTTTTTTAAATTTTTACCAAAAAATGAGGTTACACTGTATATATTGAAACGTGACTTTTTCTCTTAACATTATGTCTTGGAAATTTCTCCATGACAGCACAGGAAGACTGACCTCATTCTTTTTTGATATTTGATAGAGTGGCTATTGCATAATTCTTTATCCCTTCCCCGCGTTGGTAGACAGTTAAGTGATTCCAATAGTTCTTCATTACAAGTAATATTATATAAGCCTTCTTATTTACACGTCTTTGCACACACATGAGAGACTGTCTATGAATCCAGTCTTCAAAGCAGAACCACTGGGTTGAAGGGTATTTGCATGTTTATTTTTTTATAGATACTGCCAAATTCCTCCAAAAGACCATATTGGTCGACATCCCCACTGTGAGTCAGTGAGATTAACTATTTGCCCATCCCCCTGAATTCGTGAAATGAGCATTAAAAAAAAAAAAGTCTCGTTGTTCCCATTTGCATTTCCTATTACTTAGCTAGTGGGGCTGAGTTCCTCCTTAAGCTTACTGGCCATTCATATTTCTTTTTCTGTGAATTTAAGGTTTGTATCCTTGCCCTTGGGAGGGAAAGGTTTTAAATTTGCCCAAAGAGAGATCCGGTCTTTGCCCTCAGCTTCTGGGAGGTAATCTCTGAATCCCTGGAATGTCATGCCTCATAGAAATGTTTTTGTTTAGGGTGGGGTCTGGCCACGTTAGATAGACTAACAGTGCGGTTTAGGGTGGAGGTGCATGTATCAGCTTGTTTAGCTCCAGCTGGAGGAGGAGGAAACTGAGATCAGCTGTGTGGGCAGTCCACCGTGGCTACGTGCTGGGGCCCTAATCAAGACTCTGGACACCGAGGTGGTGAGCTTACCTGGTTGGCAATATTCCATGGGTATTGTCACACATCACTGCTGAGAAAGTAATGCATGGAGTCTATGACTCCATGGGCAGAAGACAACAGAAGCTCCAAGTTTAGAACTTAAAAGTCACCCTTTTAAAAATTATACAATTCAGTGGTTTTTAGTATATTCACGAGAGTGACCCATCACCGCTATCTAATTCCAGAGCATTTCCATCAGCCCTATGTGCACTTCCCTTGGCTGATTTTAATCTTTATCCTTTAGCTGTAATAAACAGTAACCGTGAGTATAACAGTTTTCAGTGCATTCCGTGAGTCCTTCTAGCTAATGAAGTCTGGAGGGT